CACATGTATTTTATCAACTATTCGCGGACAATTTATTACGATTAATAATAGTCTTTTATAATATGTCCTAATATATCCCTTTCAACAAAACGCGGATATAATTTTAAAATTGAGTTTCGTGTCAAATGAAGCCGTCCCCCACCCCGTCCATCCGCCTGTCTCCCCCGTCCATCCGCCTGTCCCCCCCGTCCGTCCGTCCGTCCGTATCCGCATTTTTCAATTTTCCTGTAATTTACATTTTCGGCCGTTTCGTTTCGGTCGTTTCGTTTCGGTCGTTTCGTTTCGGTCGTTTCGTTTCGGTCGTTTCGATGGTTTCGGCCGTTTCGTTTCGGTCGTTTCGTTTCGACGTTTCGCCTTTTAGTACATGCCAAGGGCTAGCCACAAAAATGATTCTCTCTTGTTTTGCTCGATGTTTATAAGTAAATTAGTGTTTTTAAAAAGCTTAAATTCCGCTACTTAGATTTCGGATTCCAGATCGGTCCTGGATTCCGGATTCCAGAGAATTGGGCCAGGATAAGGTTCAGGATTCCTCCGGTGTTTGGATTCAGTATTCCACTTTCTGGAATGCGAATTAGCTATTCAAAGTCGGATTCTGGATTCCTGAATTACTTTACATGGGGCGATAGTATATACCCACATATAACACTAGAAGAAAAAATTGCATTCAAATTCAGGTTGGTCTTCATATGGGACTCATGTCCTGTTGACCATACCTTCAATCATTGTTATATTTTTTGTATGATTGTAAAGTTGATAAATAAAAAAAAAATAATCTGCGTTTTCCGAAACCAAAGCTTAGTCCAAGCAAACATCACTTTATAACACAGCTTTCTGGAACATCACTTTATAACACAGCGCAAGTGGAATAAAGAATGCTACAATCTTGTCCAACTTCAAGCATCTGATCCAAAAACATTGTTTCTAGGCTTACACTAGCATGATATTGATATTGTAAATTTATAATTGGATGGTAAATGAACATATATAATTGTAGATGATGTTTTAATTAATGTGATGGTAGTTAAATTATTTTGTTACTGTAACTATTTTATTATATGCAGGACGCCAATGGAAATTAATGGATAGCAACCATTTTGCTGATAGGCTACCCTGTTCAAATACAATGTATCAGTATTTATCTAGAAAGCGGGATGGGAGAGAAACACTCTCGGCGCGAGAGCACAAGTACGCGAATATTACCGATACAAACTCAGCTTCACTATCAGCACTACGCCAGATAGATATAAATTTATTTAAAGGTGCATACTGAATATTATATTGTTACAAAGAGATCATCGTTTATCATGTCAAGTTGATCATGTTAACTATAATTATTAAATCTTTGCAAACACCTTTCCATTCACATACACAAAGTCGTTGTTTCGAATCCTGTTTTTTCTATTTCGAGTCCGGGTTTTCAAAGTCAAGTCCAGGTTTTCTCAAAGACGAGTCTGCATTTTTTTCAGGTCCGGGTTTTTCTCGAGTCCGGATTTTCTTTTAGTCCGAGTCCGGGTTACGAAGTATGCCCTTGCTATTGCACACAACAAAACCACCGGTTACATAATATAATAAAATCCCAAAAATGTCCATTTTACGAATTTTATAGACACATACTAAATTGAAAATCATTCCAATTCTGCAAAAATGTTAGAAAAATTTTAAAACGCAACTGCGGAGATATTGGAATAATTAAAGCTGACGAATATTTTGCCGCCAGTAATTGGCATTGACAGCACTCAGCAATCCAAGCGCGATGTGAATTTTGCACGCAAATACGGCATGCACAGACAAGTATATGAAGCGGAATGTCCGAAATTTGTTGTTCAAAATGGTTTCGTTACCTTCGGTTTCAAATTTTTCTTAATTGCTTTCTTTTACTTTACCTTCGGCTGGCAATGTTGAGCAAGGAGTTCTGAACTTTTCTGACGTGATCTGATCGATTTTGCGCGCTTGTCCAATAAAAGCTGACGAATTTGATTTCGAGTTCGTTCGTGGCAAAAAGAAGGAAAACTTTTAGGCCGCACTAAGACACTTGAATTTTGTGGACACTCTTACGTTGGCGGCCACCTTAGATTTTCATTAAGCATATTTACACCCAAATTCTGAGTGTTGAAATCAGCCCATTCCAGGGCCTTTTTCCTTCACCGCATTTTCTAACCCTGCATGCGAACGAAGTTGTTGCCTTTAAACGACATTGTCGTGCATAAACGCTACCACTCCCCTCCCCTCCCCCTCCCCCCCCCCCCCCCCCCCCCC